CAGACCCAAGTTGACAGGATCATCCACTGACCTGTTAGCCCTGTAGGCAAACTGCAGGGGATCCAGCAGGTGGCCTGTAATGTCCTTCAGGTGGGCCAACACCAGTCTTTCAAAGGACTTCATGACTACAGATATCAGGGCGACGGGCCTGTAGTCATTTAGTCCAGTTTTTTTGCGACCGGGATGACTGTGGAGCGTTTGAAGCAGGAGGGAACTTCACACAGCTCCAGTGATTTGTTGAAGATCTGAGTGAAGATGGGGGCCAGCTGGTCCGCACAGATGTTCAGGCATGTCCAGGATCTTCTGCCTCTGGAAGAGGTGGCTCACGTCCTCTTCACAGATCTTGAGTGCAGGTGAGAGGTCAGAGGGGGAAGGTGAATGTTTGAAGATGGCGTTGGAGTGGGGGAGAGGTGTGACTCTGGGCTTTTCAAACCTACAGTAGAAACCATTCAGCTCGTCTGCCAGTCGTTGAGTACCAGCAGTGTTGGGGGATGGTCTCTTGTAGTTTGTGAGTGTCCATAGGCTTCTTCACACTGAGGCAGGGTCATTGGCTGCAAAGCTGTTATTTAGCTTTTCTTTGCAGCTTTGACCTCTTTTGTCAGGGTGTTCCTTTTGTCAGGGTGTTCCTGGCCCCTGGTTGTACAAGACTCTGTCCCCACTTCTGAAGGCCTCCTCTTTGGTCTGACGAAGCTGCCTGAGTTTCGCTGTGAACCAGGGTTTTTGGTTGTTGTATGTGCGGAAGGTTTTAGTCGGCACACATGTCCTCACAAAAACTGATGTAAGATGTCACAATGTCAGTTAGTTCATCCAGGTCAGTAGCTGCAGCCTCAAAAACACTCCAGTCAGTGCAGTCAAAGCAGGCCTGTAACTCCAGCTTTGACTCATTGGTCTATCTTTTCACAGACTTTATGACACAGATACAACAGGTTTAGCAGATTTCAGTTTTTGCCTGTGTGTCAGGATAAGATGAACCAGACAGTGATCAGAGAGTCCCAAGGCTGCACGGGAGAACATAGTGATAGTGTAGAAGTGGTCCAGTGTGTTAGTGTCCCTGGTGGGACACTTAATATGCTGTCTGTAATTTGGAAGTTAATGACTGAGGTTTGCTTTGTTAAAGTCCCCAAGAACAATGAGCAGGGAGTCTGCATGTTTTTTCTCCACGTCAGTTATCTGGTCGGCCAGGTGTAGTCACGCCTCACTAACACAGGCCTGAGGTGGAATGTAAAGGCAACCACAACAAACGAGGAAAACTCCCGCGGGGAATAAAACGGTTTACAGTATATAAATAATGTCTCTAGGTGAGGCCTGCATGATTTCTTCAACACTGTAACATCTGTGCACCAACCTTCGTTTATATAGAAACAGAGTCCACCTCCCCGTGTTTTTCCCGTGAGCTCCCTTTCACGATGGGATTAAATCCCGGTAGGTGAAATGCGCTGTCCGGGATGCGCTCGGTGAGCCAGGAATCGGTGAAACAGAGGGCAGCAGATCTGCAGAAGTCCGAGTTAGTTCGAGAGGAGAAGCAATTCGTCCATTTTGTTGGCCAGAGAACGCACAGTCGCCAGGTGAATTGAGGGGAGCGCAGTGCGAAATCCCCGCTGTCAGTTTAACCAGCACGCCTGCACGTTTTCCCCTGCGCCGTTTCCGAAGGATCCCAAACAGAGCTGCCGCTCCTCCAACTAGTAACTCCGGGAAAGTTCCAGGTTCAATAAAGAGCGGTGGAATAGTATGAGCAGTTGAAAGTCCAATGTTTAAGAGCTCTTCTCTCGTAAAAGTTCTGGTAAAAGTTACCAGAGAGGGATGGCAGAAAACAGCATTAATTAAAAAAACACAAAAAGCACTACAGAGCGTAATCCCGAGGCGGCCGCCTGCATCATCATATTTGAAATGATAGAAAACTAAGAAAATACACATTTATTTTCATGTTGATTACATCTATTGAAAATGTTTTGAGTTGCCAAAACATGTCAAAACATCTCTACAGATTGAAACTTACTGACAGAACTGCTTTTAGGCAAGTATGGAAAATATGTTGTAAATTAAGAATGTTTAACAGCCAAGTTAATAGATTATATTTATCAATTAACAAAAGACCACCTTCACATCACTTTGTTAACTGAGTTTGGCTGTTCCTCACCCAGTTGTATTCCTCCTACACATCTGTTTCTGTTTCAGTTAATAGTTGTGTTTGAACCTATAGGTCCATATATTGAATTGGTGATCATTAGCACCTGGTATAATTGTTCAATCACCTGACAATATGATTAGGAAATCCCGACTATGCGGTTCTGAAGGCAAAGAGTCGTCACACCAAATACTAATTTTAGATTTTTCACTTTGCATTTTTTTATTTGTTAATTGATAAATGTAATGTATTAACATGTATGTTTTTTAAAGCATTCTTTTCTTACAGCATTGTTTCCACACCTTCCTAAATCCTTTGCACAGCACTGTATATTATTGCCCCCCCCCCCCCCCCCCCCACACACACACCCACCAAAAAAATATATTATGTACTAAAATAGTATATTAAAATTACCAAAAAGTACCACAAAAACACAATTCAGCAGTCTGTAGTGTATAGTCTGTGTGTAGTGTAAAAAATGGGATTAATTAGATAATCTCTTCAGAGATTTGTCTCCATTGTTTTTTAGTATGGAAACCAGATGCAAATAGGAATTCATTTAGCACGATGAATGTGTATAAAACACTGGGGAAGTGTAGGAACATTCAATGGCAAACAGAGCCAAATTTTTTGGCAGCTGTTATTCATCATATTGGAACGAATGCATATTATTATACTGTATAACATTACATAGACTACCTAAAATGTCTTTCATAGTGTTTTTTTTTTTTTACATATTTATTACTTTTGTTTTTTTCACATAGCATTGATTGGTCCTTGGCTGACATTCACAAAACTGCAGGCAAACTTTCTTACTTTCTCAAACTATAATACAGCAGCTGTTGAGATAGGAAGCAGATATGAACATAATATACTATAAATGCCTATAACAATCCAGTTAGTGCAATCATGATAATGCCAAATCCGGTATTCTCAACGAGCGCAATCAAAGAGCACATACCTCCACCAAGGTTGTTGTTTTGATAATAAAAATGTTCATTTTTATCACCTACATGTTGATAGAGATTCAAACTAAAAGAAGCAAAAAGCAGACAATAATGGGATGTATGTGAAATATTTCTTTTCATTTGAGGCTTTGCAGTAGCTCGGGATAGCAAAATCTTTCAAAAATCCAAAGACCATCTTTGGTGGAATGGTTGGCAATCTTGTTTACATACTTGGAAAGCTTTGTGCGGGTATTTTTTGTCTTTCAGTGCACCTCTACATAGCACCTGCAATAAATTTAAGGAGTAGTTCAACATTTTGGGAAATACACTATTTGTTGGCCGGTTGCCTGGCAACCTCACGGTGATGGCAAAAGTCCAGGCCGAGAAACAGTCCGGCATATAACCCCAGTAAAACCACAAAATGTTGTTTTTTCATCCTTGGTGGAGGCAGTGGTGGAAGAAGTACTCAGATCTTTGCGTAAGTAAGCAATGCCACAGTGTAGAAATACTTTGGTACAAGTAAAAGTCCTGTGAAAGTGAAAATGGATTGTCATCAAAATATTCTTAAAGTAGAAAAAGTAAAAGTACTCATTATGCAGAATGGTCCATTTCAGGCTAAGGTACATTATAATATTGCATTATAGTTATTGACCATCTATAATTCCTCCACACCGGCGATGACCCGATGGCTGGAGGCATTATCTTTTCGTGTTGTCCTTCCGTCCCATTCTCGTGAACAAAGATTGATGACCATATTTCATAGTTAGTTACTCAATGACTTGGAGACACTTTTGACTCAAAGGTCAGGGTACTGTGACTTCAAAATGACCTTGAACAACATGTTCTTGGCCATAACTCAACAATTGAAGCAGCAATCATGACAAAATTTCACACAGATGTTAAATGGGATACAGCATTGAAAAACACATTTACTGAAGACCATAAATCAGGAACAGAAGGAGTTGTTTTTGACCATATTTCACTGTTGGTCCAACTCTGAATGGGAGATACTTTTCACTCAAAGGTATTGGAGTGCCTAGCTAATCCTATTTAATGTGATCCCATGAGTGAGTTTCATCTACAGCTCATAGAAAGGCTTTGGACAAAAAATGCACAAACAAAAACATCACATTATAGCTATACTCTATAGCCAGTGCTCGAAGTGTAATAAAATAGGTGCCAGTACTTATTTAACATTTCTAGTTGCAAGCTGTTTTTCAGAATATTTTTAACAAATTCTTTCAAAAAGTGATTGAGACATTCTGATACTGACATGTCTCCAGCGTCCCCAGTGTAAATGACAGCTATCTGTCAATACTTTTAAATGTCCCGCCCTATCCAGGCTGTGATTGGTTGGTTCACGACAAGTGACATTGCAAGAACATGTCCCGGTACACCAAAGAGTAAAATGTCGAGGTGCCGGCACTGTGTACCGGTGCGTTCCGGCACACTTCAAGCACTATCTATAGCACATGTACATGTACCTGTTCAGCCAAAACGTCCATGATAATTTATCATTAACAACATTTCATTTCATTAACAATATTTATTGAGTGAAATCATACATATGTATGTATCATCAATATAGTGATAACTTAAGCCAAAAAATACATCCCTTTCATGTAATTCCTTCCAAGTAGTCACTACATGTATTATGAGTCTGGCATGGATGAAAATTGTAACTTTACTGGTTGGCAAGGTCAAACCTCTGAATTGTAGTGGGGTGTTCAAAAGTCCAAAAACAGAAAATGGAAATACTCAAGTAAAATACAATTCCCTCAAAATTGTACTTAAGTACAGTACTGGAGTTAAAATTGGTTACACTCCACTTCTTGGTGGAAGGGGGAGGGGGCACCATCCGTACACATCCTAGGTACGCCACTGATCATCGGCAGTCATATCAGAGATGTGAGAGGGGAAGAGAGCACAAAGAAAGAGGGGAACAGAAAAGACAGGGGAGGAGGCGGTCTGCGCAAACCCCGCCTCCAGACTCGGATCCTCTCGCATTCCTTATTCACAGCCTCTCACGTTGAGGATAGAGAGAGAAAGGGGAGAAACAAGAAGAAGGGCAGACGGAGAAGAAGAACAAGAACAAGAAGGGGAGCAGCAAAACGACCATGGCAATATCCAAAACGTCTCAGCTTGAGATAGTGTCCGATCACAGCGCACCTCTACCGCCGTCGACTACTGCACGGAGCATGCAGTCGCACAATAGACAGAGTCCAGATGAGTGAGGAGCTATACCTGGGCCGTGGACAAAATGAGGGTCATCTTCATCCAAAACGCCGGTTTCGTCGCAGCTTTCTCGCCTTTTAGACGTGAGTCGGTGATGTTGGCAGCGTTTAGGACGACAGATAATGTGAACGAGCAAGAATTAACCATAGCTAGACCATGCCAGTCAATTAAGGAGTGAGGAGATCAAACCCATATATTTAGGCGTTTTTCTTTTATGTGGGAATTAGCTTGCAAATACATTATAGCCAATATCATCTCTAAATCGAACGTGTATTCAGCTTTCGGCATGCTGCCTGCTGTCGAAATCTGAATACATATTTTATCATAAATTGGCACTAGAATTAATTATTTTTATCCGATGATAATAGGACTATGTATCCGGTAATTATGGACTGATAATGTCCTTTTAGACCTTTTGTGCTTAATCCTCAGTAGATTGATTATATAGCGATAATAACATGAATAGATAGCCTAGGAGGATAAATCCTTGTTCGCATTGATCAAAGTCGATCAACAAGACAATCTGGAAATGCTAGTTTCTACATGTAGGCCTAATAATATGACTAGTAGGCTACGCGTTATTCCTTGTAATTTATTTATTTATTATTACTAGGCTATTATTAGATCTATAAGTATTATATTATCAATTTGTTTTAGGTAGTTAGTTTGAAATATTTAACAGTGGGAAGGTTGTTTGGACACTTCCCTAGTGAGATGGAAACCGCTTATTTATCGCTTCACCGGGGGGCAAGGCGTCCCGAGGCCCAGAAAGGCCAAACCTCTGCGGGCAAACCGGCAGGGGGTGACCTCTCCCCTCCACCTCCAACTCCATCCCTGCTTGCCGGCAACTCACCCGACGATACCCCGGCAGGCAGTGATGGACGGAGAAACTCGGGCGTGAAGAAACACCATCACAAGCATAACCTGAAACATCGCTACGAGCTGCTGGAGACGCTGGGAAGAGGCACCTATGGCAAAGTCAAGAAGGCCATTGAAAGGCACTCCGGCAGAGAGGTGAGCCACTTAAGAGACTGTAAACACATGGCATGATGCTTTTAGCAGGTCTATATGGCTGTTAGACATGCATAGCCTACTTTTGTAAAGCCAATTTTAGTTGCCATTACAAACAACACGGGTCCTAAAATAAGTTCTTTGTTGCTAAGGGGCGTGTGCATGTCCATCCCCCGCTGGGAATTCCCCCTTTGCTCAAAAGGGCCCATGGGGCCAGTGAGTTTTGGCTGCACACGCCTTGTCCTATGGTGGGCCTCAAGACCGGATGCTGGAGTGCAAATCCGGCTACTGACTGACTGATGTGATAGAAGTGATCCTAGTAAGCATCACTGAAAGCAGCTTACATGACTTTGTTCAGTGTCTCACAGGCTATAGTCTATTCTTTCGGTCCACCCCTTTCTGTTTCTTCATTTAAAAAATGTATTGGCTGTCTTCTTTACCATAGTAAACTCACCATCTGCTGTTATGTCCTTGCAAACCAGCGCATCCGTCTGAATATTTCCACGTGTGGTAAAATATGACCCCTGTGCCCATTCTGGCAGGACATGGGGAACTTTCCATGCACTGAGAATGCCAGGGGAAACTCAGTATAGGTCAACAATGTCCCCAATGGTTTCATAGCTCCTGGCAAATGCATGCTTGATAGGGGGATCATAAAACCTCTAGTAGGGCTTACTCCCTCTTGGCCTGTCCGACTTGGCTCCTTGTTGTTTCTTCAGTATGTTTTCAGATTCATTGTTGCCATGGCAGTAGTGCTAATGTGAAGTATTTTACTTTCACTATTGTAAAATTGCACAATGCATTGACAGGAAGGGTCAAATTAAATTCTTTTTACATTATGAATAGTGTTTCCCTCAGAGCTCAAATTAGCAAGAACAAAATGTGGCTTTCGATAATGTATTGGAGTAACAGTAGCCGCAATTGCAATGTTTCTAAAACCATGCTTACCTACTGGTAATTATTAAAATTACATTTCCTAATTAAAATCTTCAATAGAGTACACCCATAATATACAATCAGTTTCCAGTTTATTAGGTACATGTAGTTAGAACTAATGCAGTCTGCAATGAATCCTACCTTCATGAAGGTTATAATGTTCAGTTTTTGAAAGGTCAGGTGTTAATTTAACTGTGTGATGAATTTGTGGTAGTGTTGAAATGTATTGCATTACACAGAGAGGTGTTTCTGTTTAGCCTACTCTCGCTGATATATATGAAAAAAAGGAACGTGGATTAATTAAAGAAACACCTGTCAGTATACAAATAATTCTTTGTAGGTCAAAACTCAGTGCCCTAGTGGCTTCATTTCTCCTGTAATCTTCCTCAGTTTAGCATTCAGACCTAAAATAGCTTGTCAGTAAACGGGGGAGTTTGTATATCTTAGGGAAGTCCTTTGAGAATCAACGCCTCTGCACAGCAGAAAACAGACAGAGCATGCTTGCCGGCCACATCACGGGCCACGTGTGTCTGGCACTACGTTGCTAGAGTTTACATGACCTCTGACTGAAAGGTAGTCCCTTGTGTGCATATGGCAAATACAGCAGCAGTGTGGTCAGACTGTTATGCAATCACCCTGTACCTTTCCCTGGTTCCTTCCACAAACCAAATGAGGAGAGCAGAGAAAGATAAGTGAGGGGACAGACTCAGAAAGTTTTGTGTGTGACTGTGTGTGTGCACATATGTGGAATGAACTGAAGGCGCTTGAGGGAGATTGATTAGCTGTGGGCACATTCAGTGTGTCAGCGAAAGTGGAACTGAGTGAGTGTCTGCTTTAATCTGCAAAGCCAAATGTTGTACGGCTTGGCAGCTAAATGGAAACCCAACATTATATGGAGTTGATCATATACATCATAGTCTGGATATGTGACACATGCACAAGCTCATGAGTTTGTGCATGCCTCTAGAAGATGTGTTTCATGTTTGTATACTTGTGAAAGAGACTTTGTGTTTCTGATATGCCATCTAGATGACTATAGTGAAAAGTTTGTGGTGACAGGCGGGCCTTAAATGGGCAGTGATGCATGAAAGGCCATCCATAGCAGGAAATGAGATGGAAGGGGAAGGTTAATATCCTGTATGGGAGTTCCATCACAGACAGGAGAGGATTGGCAGTTAGCATAGAGACACAGGGAAGCCCACCGTCATAACATTGAGAGGGACAGCCTTAGCTAAAGGGATTAGAGAGTCATATTAATATGATCTTAAAGCACCAGATTACATCATTCCCCAACAATGGATTCACTGGAGAGGTACGCAAGAGGGGAAAACACTGACATTCCTCTGCTAAATGTGGTGCTGTTGATGAGGTATTATGATTTCTGGCTGAATTTGAGAATATAGTTCTCTGGAAAAGTGACGGCCCTTATCCTCCCACTCTTTCACTCTCTCTGTCTCTTCCCCCCCTAACTCTGACTCAGACACACACTCAACACAACAGATGATCATGATCTTTAGAAAACGCACGGAAGGGTGAACTGATGATGAATACTTCATCTATTTTAATGGCCTGAGAAAGCGCAGGAAGATGGCAGGCTCCAGTGAAGCGAAACATGAACTTTCACTTCAAACAAGCTCTGTTGTGAACAAGGAGGGGGCCCAGAAGAGCAAGGCCCCATACCTGGCAGGGGCCAGCGTGGGCAGCAGTGCAGCGCCTGTTACTATGAGTGACAGTAATAGGGATCCACTTAAGGACAAGCGTAGCTGTGTCAGCCAGCCCGGCCAGCTGGCAAGTGGCTGATCTGCAGTCCTGTTTAATGATCCACATCAGGGTCAGGGCAGGGGAACATGAGGCGATACACAAGAGATACCTGGCTTTGTCTCAAGCCCAATTCGGGAGAGCTGGCTCATTCAATGAGTTAGCATATAGTGTGGAATTAAGCTCATGGCAGTTAAAGACTGATTACTACCCCTTTAGGAGAAAATACCATTTTGGTTTTAGGCAGCAGTTCTACAGAGAAAGTTTACTTGGCTTTACGTGTAACTTTTGTAGGTCGTTTCGCAGTTGTATCCTAAATTAATGAATTCCTGAATTAATTCCTACATTAAATCCAGGAAGGTGACTCACATTCTGCCTCACTGCTAAACTCCAAAGTCAAAAATATATACTCACGATTTGGGGATCAGTGATAAAATGTTGATGAATCTGATGAGGTAGAGGAAAATATCAGTGTTAAGACACAAACAACTTTTAACCAATTAAGAACACAGCATGTGGACCCCCTGGACCCCATCTTGTTTATTATGGTATAATTTCTTTAAATTCTATGTAATCAAGACATGCTTTGGAAGGGAACTATTCCGGTTTGGGGTTATTTTTATTGATGTACACGGTAATTAGCTTGGCACTCACTACTGCCTGTGGTTTCTGCTGCATGGAATAAAGCTGTGCTCCTCAGAATACTACCGCTTAGCTAGGAGAGGACAAAAGTTTAAACTAACAGAATTCAGAGCAAACAGACTCTATACAGGCCTGATCAAAGCAAACCCAGGACTCAATCCAGAATGTTTAGGCTACAATTATAGTGACATGTGCTAGACTGTGTACTCTTGATTGGTTTATTTGGAGAAGGTTACTAACCTCTTATTTAAGGAGTGCAAAGGCTAGAGGTTTGAATGCATTGTGGCTGTCTCTTACCCCGGTGGCATTGCCCTGGTGGTTTAAAATTGTCAACTCAAGTGTAGTTGTTGACCATTGAACCTCCTGTAGCAGGCACATTAGCAGGACAAGTTGACTGAATCACTTCCTCAACCCCTGCCCATTCTCCTGATTCTTCCATAAAACTCCCAGCAGGTCAGCCTTTTCAGGCTATTTCATAAGTAGGCCATTGGCTCAGAATGACTAAAATAAGAGGCTGGGTAGTGATTCAGTGTCTTCTCAAGGACTTTTTGACAGGGGAGGAAACATGGCTATGTAGGTTAATACCGACATGTGATTTATGGAGGAGCACTCTGACCTCCACGTCTTCCTGCCTCCCTTTAGAATGACTATTTAACACCTTGCTCACCTCTTTTTCATGATACAGACATGTCATGATACTGAATTGCAACAACTTTGGTGATCCATTTACTTTTCGTCTGGTGCCAACATTTTACTCTTGGTTGTATGACCAAATATCTGGAATACTAATGATATTCTCATCAGCCTCAGCAGTTTAGTGCTAATTAGCAAATATTAGCATGCTAACACACTCAACTAAGATGATGAATATGGTAAACATACCTGCTAAACATCAGCATTGTTATTATAAGCATGATAGCGCCACTGTGCGTTAATGTGGCTGTAGAACTATAGTCTTGTTTTCTGCCAACAGCTCCTTCCAGATAGAAAGTTTCTATGGAAACCCCATGTTTCACCGTGTTAATCTGACTTCTGATCTCTCTGTTAGAGAAAGGTTTGGGGCCCCAGATCAGAGACCTAGCCCAAACACTGACTAATACCTGGTTAAATGTAGGCACGGGCTCTGAAAGAGTACAAAGCAAGCCTCCATTATGGCACCACGTGTCAGGTTGTTTTTCTCAAAGAGAGGACCTTCATTTAGCTTCGTACAGAAAGAAGGCTGAGTAAATTACACAGTGTGAGACTAAGATGACACCTCCCACTCTTATTGACTCATCTGGCCGTCACGACAGCAATGCCTGGTGATAAAATAAATGGTTGTTATAGAGGCCTTATAGGACCCCTGAGAAGAGAGGTAGATTAGGCTGATGAAGTACACAAAGGTTATTAGGGAAAGAAATGTAACAACACATACTGAGTTGGCTCATGTTTTTGCTGAGACAGACAGATATCACATGCAGAGCCATGTACATTTTAAAGTTCACTGATAAGATAATGAATGTGACAGACTGTAAATATGTTGTCCTTCAATCCCTTACTTTCTTTATTTTCTTTGATTTTTCCTCCCTTTCCAAATAAATCAACATATCTATGCAATTAGTGCGAAAAAAGGAAAATGTGTTTTAAGCTGTTACACCTGATACACCCAAGCTATTGCTATTTACTTTATACATTTTATGTTGCTATAAGTCATTGATCAAAGTGTCTTCTGTCCTCTGTTTCCAGGTGGCTATCAAGTCAATTCGAAAGGAGAAGATCAAGGATGAGCAGGATATGGTTCACATCCGCAGAGAGATTGAGATCATGTCATCCCTCCGCCACCCACACATCATTTCTATATACGAAGGTGAGGGTCTGCTGCATGTCACATACACATACACAGGTGGTAAATCATGCACACTCATTTGACTTGAACAAACATAAACAAAAACACACACGTCCAAAATTCACCCCTCCCTCTGTTCATATAAGTTGCAGAATTGTCATGTTTTGACATGCAGATGTCACAATAAGACCTGGACTACAGCTCTGGGATGTTATTCATCTTCTCTGCTCTGTCTGGGCTGCCTGGGCCAGTAAAAGCCTGGATGGCTTTGACAATGTTGCGTCTAAATCTCCCTCAGTTTATGTGTGTATGTGTGTGTGTGTGTATGTGTGTGTGTGTGTGTGCACACATGTGTTGAAAGTTTGTGTGTGTAAGAGGGGTGGTATTCTAAGGGATTGCCTCTCCCACATAAGAGGTCTCATCTCTTGTCTTCTCTGGTCTTGATCTCAGGGCCAGACATCTGCTGATACTTAGAGACAACTACAGCTGTGTGTGTGTGTGTGTGTGTGTGTGTAGCTAGGGAGACACTGGATTGACCTCAGTCACCCAGGCCTGCACCCTGTCTGACTCCAGTCCAATTGCTATGCAGAGGGAGGAAAGGGGTGTTACAAGGGTGCCTTAAGTCTTCCCCGGAGCAACGTCAACATATATCTACCCTAGGAAGCAACTCTCTAAATATCAAAGCCTTCAAGTCAGGCTTAAACGGCTCACATATTTACTTTTTGGGACCTCCTTTTTTGTCTTTTAGAATGACCTTAGCCTCCCTGGAAGAAAACATAGATTAGAATTAATGGTGAGTAAAAAGCCTGAACAATTCCCATTGAATTCTTTCAACATATTTCTGGCAATTAGTCATCCCTTATAATGTAGTTTGTGCCTATTTTCAGGCAATTAAAGTCGCAAGGCACTGCAATGTGAATTGGTTTCATATGATTTGTGACTTCTGACTATTTTTATGCCCATGTCAACAAAGCAACGGTTTCAGTGCCCTTTTCACGATAGCAGCCCTGGCATAATGGCAGTTATTTATGTGCCACTGCCAAACTGGCTTACTCACTGACCTTTGTTCAGTTTCAAAGTCCCCAGGTAGTTATCAGTAATGTGAATATGCAGCAAACATCACTATTTGTCATGGGAACGTGCCAGTAGTCAGCTGAAGGGCTGAAGTGCAGTTTTATGTGTTTTGTAGGAGAATGATTAAAAGAACACCCAGCTTTATAAACTCCAAGGAGACTGGATGGTGTTCCTATGTGTGCTGCCTTCCTTTAAAAGCAGCGTACGCCACCAAAATACTCTACCAGACTCATTGCTCTCGCTCTTTGGTGTTTCTCCTCAAACCCAACGTTTACTGTTGTGGCCTGGCCTCCTCCCAGCCTTGCTTTAGAGATATATAGGAGGCCCCAAGATTTGTGTATCCGGCAACACCCTCTTCAACAGCCCCTGCTAACTGCTTTGTGTGAAGCAAAGCTGAACCAGATGTGTGTGTGAAGATTGATTTTTACCACTCCCTCACATTCTGCACCCATCAGCATGCTGTGCGAGGCATTTAAAAGCAGATTCTCAGGCATAGGCAACTACGTACCCTAGTGCCCCTAGTTTGCTTTTCCCAGCCAACAAATAGTCCGACACATACATCTCCATTAAATCTCAACTTGTTGTTTTTATACTTCAGTTTTTGTGTGAATTAAAGAGGTGGTTTTATGCTCATTTTCAGGTTCAAAATCTTAATTAGGGGTTGTACCAGAACAGGTTTACATGGTTTAATTTTCAAAAAACACCATATTTTTCTCATACTGCATTTTGCAGCTCCTCTTTTCACCCTATGTATTGTACACTCTGCTCTTGAGCTACAGAGTGATGCATCTTACTTGTTACTAGTTGCACATGCGCAGTTCCCAGGTAAGGACTACTAACCAATCAGAAGCAGAGAAGGGCGGGTCGTAAGAAACAAGGTAGTGTGATCCAAATCAAAGCCTCTTCAGACTGTGACTGTAACCTAGCAGATTACTCACAAGTCCACAACCACACAACATCGTTGTTCCAGATCTTACCATTAGGACTAAAAGTTGAACTGTTGCCGGTGTTCTGACGATCCATGCTGCCTTGCCGAAAATCGATAGACTCAGCTCTACTCGGCCCTGCTCCGTTTTCCATTGCAGATAGTACCCAGAGATAGTATGTTGCAGGTCGTCATAGCGACGCCACACACAACTGCCACAACGTAATGTTCAATGCGACACACACACCAGCGACCCACAAAGCTCTTAAAATACAGTCTACGGTTAAAACGTTTCAGCATTCCTCAGAATGTAAAGACAGATAAGCGGTATGAAAACCTTCCAGCTGTGTTTTCCTCTGCCGTTGTTGCTGCAGCGGTCTGTGTGACGGCGGGAGCCGAGGGCTCCTCAACTCCGAAAATATTCAAGCACATTTTTGTTTCACCATCACTTCTCGTAAAACTGTCAATATTCGAAATCTACACAGCTGATTTCTCACCTCGAAACTTCTCAGAAGTGGATTTAGTGATGAAATAACATGTGAAAACTGTAAAATATAAAACTTTATGTTGCTGGCCTCTGTCTGGTGCAAGCAATGATGATGCAGTGAATAGTGAATATTCTCTCTGACCAATCAGCAGTCTGTCGTGTTTTCACGTTACATTTTAGTATCCCTCAGCTTGCTTGGAACCTCGATGGAGGTGAGGTGATACGAAAAAAAGTACCTGGAAGCAGGTACAGGTACAACATTTCTACAATGGAAACCCAAACAAAGGCAAGTCGAGCCAAAGGGCCTCTGCTCAGACTAGCTTGGTTTGAGGGCGTGCCTGACCCCCGCAAGCTGCTTGGCAAGCTTTATGACGCGTTTTCATTGTGATGTCACAAGTAAAGGAAGTGAAGGGCTGGACAACAAACGAGCTGTTTTCAAGCGGTTCAGAGCAGAGCTTTCTGCGGGAGATGGGATGGGAACTAGTTAATTAGTTTCTAGCCTCAATGCTAAGCTAACTGGCTGCTAGCTGTAGTGTCACATTTGGCGCACAGATTGGTATCTCATATGTTATCATCTGACTCTCAGCAACAAAGTGGATAAGTGTAATTCATAGGGGAAAAGGTAAATAAGGAGGATATATGAAGTTAGAACAGACTCTCAAACCATTCTCCCTTCTGTGAGTGAAGAGCCACACTTTTCATTGTATTCATTTTACTGCATTCTCTAAAGGTGACATAAGCCTAGATAGTAATTTAAACAGTATTCCGCCACTCTTCTGTATTGCACTTTGAAATAGTACTCTGCGTGAGGGCCTGACCTGTGAACAAAAGCCCAATATGTGACATTGAGACTGTAGTGGTGGCTGGTGTACCCAACGGGCTGTAACAAACCCAAGTTATGTAACCCAGGTAATTACTTCACCACCAGGGGTCAAAGGTAAATGGGAGTGCAAGCTGGGAATTGGCTCTCCAAGCACAACCCCAACACGGATCATTGTGAATGTTACCCCAGGTCACCACCTCTGTCCACCAGTCAGAAGGCTGGATCTGTTCTGCCTTCGGTGGTACTTGGCTTACATGCCGTCTGTTACTTCCAGAGCAGCCAGAATCGGTGAGCATTACCATCACTCAGCAACTGTGTGTTTTTGTAGAGGATTATATCTTTCAAAGGACCCCGGGAGGGGGTGAGGAAAGTAGTGTGACAAACTATGAAGGTGCTCACTCAAGGGTGCAGAAAGCAGAGGCCTTCACCCTCAGTGACCCTGCTGTGTGGGAAAATCAACCCACACAATACGGAGCAACATGGCTGACTGTGTTGTTGTCATCTCCTCAGTATACCCTGTCTTTCTCTCTCTCTCCTCTCTCTCTCTCTGCCTAACCATTTTCATTCCCTTCATGCCAAGGCACTGGGAAGTATGTTGCCAAGTTAAAATGATACACCAGAAGGCTAAATGCTGACAACGAATGATATGTTTGGTAACTGCAGTTGGTTAGTCTTGCTTTACAGTAATACACTTGTAATAACACTTTCTCCAGTCACCAGATTTGATTCAAGTGAGACTGTTAGTTAATGTAAAAGAAATATTTTATTCACGTTGTTTTCTCTTCTAAAAGTGAAACTGGGGATGAATTAACCAGCATTGTTTCCCATCCTTTTTCATTCTTTGTTTTGGTCATATAAAAATTGAGCAAATATAAAAGCAGTAGATACAGTATATTGTCACTGCTATAGATTTTAATGAGTAAACAGAACACAGAAGAACAGTAATTATTTATTCAGAGAAATACATGATAAACAGTTCGTGCTTCAGTTTGTGCTTCTCTTAAAATAACAAGGTGATGCTTTTACATGTGTTTAGTCATGAATTACTAATGAGTAATGCAATATTTTTAATTAATGGTTTTGAGAAGGGTGTTGTTATAATATACTGTTATGCAATATATTCAATATTGTGATATTTTCCAATCAGATGGACACTAGTATGGTGGTTAAAAGAATGTGGGAATGTGTTGTGAAATGTGTTGACATGACGCAATGTTGAATTGCGAAGTGGCACATAAAACTGTAGCATACCATCTATCTGCAAAGCTAACTCATTCTCTCTTTGAGAGGTGCTGCTTTCTCTCTGTTTCACTGCTCTCCACTCTCTCGTCTCTGAGTACTGGGCTTGATTGAGTTAACAGCCCCTCCCTGCAATGTTGTGAAGGAGCCAGACACATGAGGTGGGGTTTGGGTGATATAACCTTGGGAAGTGTAGAGATGTTATGTGCTCCTTTGGAATTTGGATTCATGCTTCAAAACTAAAGGGGGTAAACTGGTTTACTCTGCTTTTTACATCACAATGTCCATGTGTGATTTTAACATGATAGAATGAAACTGGAATGACTTTATAAGTTCTCCTCCCATCTCTCTTGCTATTGATATAGATCTATTTCCTGAAAGTAGATTAATGAACTCCCAATTGTTTTCTTATCATTTCTCAGTGTTTGAGAACAAGGACAAGATCGTGATCGTGATGGAGTACGCCAGCAAGGGCGAGCTGTATGACTACATTAGCGAGCGCCGGCGCCTGAGTGAGCGGGAGACTCGACACTTCTTCAGACAGATAGTCTCCGCCGTGCACCACTGCCACAAGGTGAGGAAACCCATACCATACTATACATAGATATAAACATGCAGGCTTTGTTTTCCATGCAGCAGCATGCTTATTGTAACATAAACCATGCACCTCCACAGTCAACCATATAGCCAGTTAATCTGCAGCCCTTACTACACTGTGTGCTTTTCTTGGCGCACGGCTGTTAGGGAGTCATCTGTTTCAGAGTGAAGATGGAACACAGACCAGTTTAATTCAGGCTTATTATCTGATACAGTGCACCAAACAGGCTTTGCATTAATTCTGGCCTCATCTGTTGACACACTGATGGACGTCCCAAGATACCCCTAAAGCGTTTCCCCAGAGATTTAGCTCCAGCCACACCCATGTCAACCCGTGTTCCACACGTCACTAACTCCCATCAAAACCCCAAGGTCCCAGGGCTTGTTTGGATGAGCTCCCCTCTTGTCATCCACTCCCCAGCTGGAGATAGGGATGATGTCATGGTCCTCAGATAGGAGAGTCCCAGACAGCCGTGAATGATGAATCATCACTACCAAGCACAACCTCCCGCTGGGTGGGGTGGTGTGAGTCACTGACACAACAAGCAAGCAACCATTTCTTCATTGTATCCACCAATCAGGGTCATGTGAACATGAGCTCCCTGCCAAGCAATAACCAATGGGAGATGCCATGCAGAGCGCAACCCTGATGGATGAAGTCACTCCTCCACATCTGAGCTGGGTTCTGTCTGTCTGCATACCACATGTTAATTCCAGGGTTTTTTTTAAACCCAGACATTAACCCAGACATTAACAGCATAGTTGTTTTTTAATCCCAAGATGTTGTGAGAACATCATTCATACAAGGTGGTAATTACAGGATCATGTTTATGTGACACATCATGTGAGTCGATTTAAAAAGAAAATCATAGCAGATGTCAGCATAAAGACCCCAGAAGGGACAAGACCAATTAAAGAGTACTAGACCAATAGGCTGCCTTGATTTCCCCCGAGAGCCACAAGATAGCTTTGTAAGCTTTGAGTAAATCATCTCTTAATACAATGGACTGTTTATTACTTGGATCAATCTCTCATGAATAATACATTGATAGATTAATCAATCATTACTTTGTTTTTTTGTGATTGTCTTTCAGAATGGAGTTGTGCACAGGGATCTGAAACTGGAAAATGTGCTACTGGATGAAAACTGTAACATAAAGGTGAGTTTGCCCTTTTATCTGTGATGCGTTACCCACAGGACTATAATACCTTACCCCAAATGATCTTTGTATGAGGGATTAACGATCACATGGCCAGTGTAAAATTCACACATATCACTGTTTCCACAGATTGCTGATTTTGGGCTGTCCAACCTCTACCATAAGGACAAGCTGCTGCAAACCTTCTGTGGCAGCCCGCTCTACGCTTCACCAGAGATCGTCAATGGGAGACCATACCGTGGCCCAGAGGTGAGAACCAGTGAGCAAAACAATGATAATGACTAAGCAGCTGTTTGTGTGTGAACTTAATTTCCAGGACTTGATTTAGTTCATCATCATTATTGTCATTCTTAGCTGTTAAATTTGGTGTGAACCTCCTAGATCTCTCACTTTATATATCTTTCATCATTATTATCTCACTAGTGATTATCATCATCACATAGGCTGGAGACAAAGTGGTGGATAGGGTTTATTTTATTTTTCTTTGATGGGATTACTATTGGCCTCCAAAGGGAGGTCTCTCTTGCAACTTCACAGTGGGTCAGCTCAGATACTGTCTGCACCCTCCCCTGTCCCCCCTTTCTACAATGTTTGGGTCCTTTGAAGTGAGGTACTGGAGTTTTTACTCACTTTCTTCTCATCTTAATGGGATTGGAATGAACTCCACAGCCTCTAAAAGACGCTCATGGTCAAAGTCAAATAGTTTTGGTGAAAGAAAGAGTGAAAATGTCTCCCCAAAGCCACTTATCTGGCAATTCCAGAGTCATTCTGAAGGGCGTTGTCTCTGAAATCGCATCAGTTACATAAAACAAAGCAACAGAGGGGGAAAAAAACTTGCATTTTTAGATATTCAAGTCCAACCATTCAATTTAGCGTAATTCACTATAATTTCCTCCAGAGTGCTAAAAACTACAGCAGTCCGATTGCAATCAAAATTACAGAACCTCGTTTGGGGTGAGGCCACAAATTACAGCAAACACAAGCAATGAAAATAGATCACAACAATACTGCATGCCCTGTCTCGCCCTCAGGAATGGACCAATAGCAACAGGAGAGTGAAACATTCTTGATGTGGTCCAGATCCTTAGAGGAAGTACACTAACTCTTTAACTGGCCCTATCTGATTTCCTCTTCCTAGACTGTGTCTTAGAGCTTAAGATACCACCATCAGAAGCACATTCCTCAGAACATCACATCCCCCCCTAACTACAGTCAATACACACAAATCACTGTCACATAGACAGGTCATCTACTGATCTCTGAATGGCAGCATGTCTCAGTGAGTCATCAGGGGCCAGGACATCACAACTCATTACCCCCTTCCAATCTCACAACTTCCCACATAGCTCTGCACCTCCTCATGCCCCAGACACAAATTGTTATGTAACCGCTTATTTAGAAAGTCATGTTGCATTAGGTTAGTGGTCAGAAAGTGCTCGCTTCCCCCTGACAGACTGTGAGAGCGTGAAGGGGGGCTGGTAGATTTACCCACGTAGAAATAAGCCATTTCCAACCAGAGTACTGGCATTTGTTATTATTTCTATAAAAGATGCACTGAAGAATAACTGTAGCATCGCAAGCGCTTTAACAGAGATGTTCGTGCGTGGCATTAGGGTGAAAAAGTAATTATGGTGCTGATTAATGTCAAAGTAAACTCAAGAGCATCACTCAAAATTCTGTTCATTCCACACATTAATGCAATGAATCACTCATCAAAACAGGAATGGGAAGGCTGTGTCTTCATTACATAACACAAGATTGAACACACCTCAACTATTTGTTTTGTTTGCTTGCTGCGTACAGTATATATGGCTCAGTTTATAGGCAGTGTGTGTTCTGTGTATGACTGAATGAACATGTGTATGACCAGCTTTTTTGTTTCTACCATCAGGTGGACAGCTGGGCTCTCGGGGTGCTGCTGTATACCTTGGTCTACGGGACCATGCCATTTGATGGGGGAGACCACAAGAACCTCATTCGCCAGATAAGCAACGGCGAGTACAAAGAGCCCACTCAGTCCTCAGGTACGGCAGGAACCTCTGTTTGTATTTTCCTGGTTTTTGTCATTCTGGGAAAACACACCTGATCCCAGTGCTTTTTCTTTATTCATTTAGCTGACGCTTTTATCCAAAGCAACTTACAATTGCTATATATGTCAGAGGTCGCACAACCTCTGGAGGAACTAGGGGTTAAGTGTCTTGCTCAGGGACACATTGGTGTCACAGTGGATTCGAACCCGGGTCTCTCACACCAAAGTCATGTGTCTTATCCATTGCTCCATCACCACCAGAAACTACATCATAAACTATACTTGGCAAATCTAGTTCAGCTGAACTGCAGATAGAGTCACTTTGGGAACACCATTTGTCAGAAACTTTCAACCCCTGAGATTATGTCCATAAATTCTATAGCAGTCACTTCTTTATGTAGATTCCAGAAAATACTCTTTGAGACATTGGTCCATAAACTGTTGAATGGAATATGGATCAGAGTGCTCTCAATGTGTACATATAGTAGAATCTGCACAATCCATTACACATGATGCTCAGATCTACACTTTTTGTCCAGATAGTATTAAAAAACTCAATAACATCACCATTTTTAATAAATCTAATCTCAAGTCTAGTTGTTTCAGGAACTGAAATATATGGCAGGAACAGGAATGCAAACATTCCATTGAAAGTTGGAAACAATTTTGTTTTTGTGCCTATTATTATTGGTATACTGCAGTACCAAAGACACTCACATGGTGTAAACGTTGTCACTAGCATGTGTTGTCTAGTGTTTAACTGAGGGTACATTGTTGTGGTTTAAACTGAACAATGGAAAAATAATCATGTAAAATATTTAGTGACTAATGCTTTTAGTAAGGGTATAAAGCACTGCATTTGTTTTTAAAAGCCAAATAAGCAAATAATTATATCACCAGCTTTTACACACAGCCTTAATTATTCAATTATTTAATGAAAACCCACACCAGTTCCAGCATCTTTCAATTAAGACAGCCCCAGGTAGTGCTTGCAGTGTCGAACTCAACTCCACTTCTCCTTTTAGTACTCATTAATAGCTTGTTATCAAATAGTTAGCTTTTTATGAAAGTGATGTGTTATATGTGGCAGCTTACAGATTGTTCTTGTCATGTTTCCTGCTAGATGCCCGTGGACTGATCCGCTGGATGCTGATGGTGAATCCTGAGCGCCGGGCCACAGTGGAGGACATAGCCAACCACTGGTGGGTAAACTGGGGCTGGAAGAACAGTGTGTGTGACTGCGAGACCCAACATGACCATGGAGGCTCGCCTATGCTGGCCCGCTTCATCGACTGGCAGAACCGCACTGAGCCACGTGGTTCTGGAGCCAAAGCTGCAGCCATGCCCCAACTGCTGCGCCAGAGGCCCAAAAAGTCCAAGAAGGAAAATGTTGAGTCAGGGCAGACCCACTGTGGAGCAGAGGACAAACCGGGTCTGAAGAGACCCAAGGGGATCCTTAAGACCAGGGTCACTGAGGAGCAGCAGTCTGCCAGTCTGGAAGATGTGGAGTTGGGCCATGCAGCGCTGCCTCAACAAACCGAAGAGGGAGAGGAAGCCTCAAGTCCAGATCAAGAGGAAGAGGAGCTGATTCTGGGAGGAGGCTCGCCAGCTAAAATGGTGCCATCTCTGCCCAAAAAAGGCATCTTGAAGAACAACCAACAGCGGGAATCAGGGTACTACTCTTCACCAGAGCGCAGCGAGTCCTCTGAGCTTTTGGGGGGTGCCAGTATGTCTCTGCTAGCCACCTCCCCGCCTAAGAGAGCGATGGGGAGAAAGGGCATCTTGAAGCGAAACGGCAAGTACTCCACCTACAGCGGGCCTCCCTCGGCAGCAGCAGTGGCTGGAGTCCTTGGTGAGCCTCCTCCATCAACTGACTCAGGTCTGTCCCGCAGTCAGAGTCGGCCCTCCAGCATTGTCGGAGAGGACAGCTCCACGCTGTCCCTGTCGCCTAGCTCCCTGAGTGGGGCTGAGTGGCACCCTTCCACCACCCACCTCCGCCCAAACATCAGGGCCTGTGTCTCAGCTGAAAACCTGCTGCAGCTCGCCAACTTCAAGGGCTTCCAGCCTGCCCCTCCGCTCCAGGGACCCAAGTTCAGCCGTGGCCCCAAAACAAAAGGCTCCCCAGGGGACAATGGCAGCTTCTCCTTGCTAGGGGACCTGGAGGACATGACTCAGGTGTACCAGCAAGCCCTGGACATTAGCAGCAACCTCACCTAACAGATGGGTGGGAATTGAACGTGACTGTGTGTGTGTGTGTGTGTGTGTGTATGTGTGTGTGTGTGTCTTTGTGTGTGTCTGTGTGTGTGTGCGTGTGTGTGTGTGTGTGTGCGTGTGTGTGTGTGTGTGTGCGTGCGTGTGTGCGTACGTGCATGTGTGCGTGTGTGCGTGCGTGCGCGCGCGTGTGTGTGTATGTGTACACAGATGTATATGGGTGGCATTAACGACCAGTGTGTTACTGGGATACACCTTTTGGGAATTTGTGGTTTTCCAAATGGGGATGAAATCTTGATGGAAATGATATGTCTACACACACACACACACAGATGTACACACTTTGGTGCACTTCTCTGGGCAGAGGAAATTTAGTTAGGGTTTTGTGAACAAGAGAGAGAAGGAGCTGGCATGAGAGAATGCCACCCAGTCTGCATTCTTGGCCCGTCCATAGACTTTGCTGTGTTCAACATGTTTACATATTCAGCAAGAAGGCAAGTTGGAATCACAAATGCAGCAACCAGAAACCGGTTGGCTGTCCTTGTACACCACCAATTTTGAGTTTGAGTTTACAAAAGCACCTTAAAACTCACACAGAGCACATGCTTTTGTGATCTTTACTTCCTTTAAAAAAAAAGAAACAAACCAGGGTCTTGTTCCAAAAATAACAGACATTGCTGATTATTTATTATTTTCGTAGCTTTTAGTTTTAAGTGCAAAACTGGTGGGCTGGCTGTTACTGGAAGAGTCCAAAGCTCCTCATCTCCAACTCTTTGTGTGGAACTGACATATATAATTATGTTACTCAGTTATGAGAAACATATAGTATATATAATCAGCATATATAATTGTGTCTGCGCTTGTAAAACACGCAGGCAAATATACCTTCATAAAAGCGTATGTCCTATATATGTGTATGATACTAGGGAATATGTAGGAAGTGCCTTTTTTGATTCATAACAAAAAATTATGTATGTCATTTCCTTAAAGTGGAGGGAAATGCCAGGCCAACCTGTCGCCAGTTGTGCTTTTTGTGATGTTGTTTGTGAATGTGGAGAGACCCAGGGCCTTGAGCGCACAGCTACTTATTTTAGGTTTGTATGGTCAATCTCAGACAGTTGCAGTCAAACAGTCTCATCTCCTCCCCCTGTTCCTAGAATCACACACAGATATGCTGGGATCTACAGGCCGCCTTGAAAAGACCTCCCCTGTGTTCTTTGTCAGTATTTAAGCCCATAGTGTGGTTTGTCAGCAGTTAAGGTGGCTTGGTTGAGGAAAGTTTCGCTGGCAGCACCAGAGGTCTGCAGGGGCTCACCTAGTGGGACAATTGGTGAAGGGAGATAGCACAGACACCACCTCATAGTCCTGGAATGTGCCTGGCTCCCTTAACCTTGGTAGCTTTACATTTTAGAGGCTTTGTTTAGTGAGACAATTTTTTTTTTAACCAAAGACATTTAAGGTGGTTTCCATTGTCAGACTAGTTAATATTTTATCCAAAGCTCTTCAAAAGAGCTAAGTAAAGTGGTTTGTTTTAGCCTGCTGATGACACAGCAAATTCCTCAGACAAAGGCTGGAGACGTGTTGGTGCTAGAGATCTCTATCAGCCCCAGACCGACTCAGCACAGGTGGGATCTGCAGTCTGTGCTCAGCCCTCCAGCTGTGTATACTAGTCCATTATGTCAACCAAGTACAATTAGCCAGCTATTGTTTTCATTTGACAGTAAGAGAGAGGCAGCGCGCAGAGATTTATAGCTAGAGGGAGAAGAAAAGAGTGTGAAAGAATGACGCATGGAAAGTTGCTGAGATTAGAGAGGACTTTCCTGTAAAACACAGGAAAGGTCAAGGAGTTAGAGTTATTTTTTGAAGGAATTGTAATGTAGAATAGTGAAAGTTAAGAAAGTGAGTAGAATGAGTAGATGGAAAGTTGTTGTTTTTTGTTTAATACCAAAGATGTGATGAAGTTTTGACATGATTCAGGGGAATGGATGGATCAGGGACTAGTGGAAGTACTGTGGATTTTTCTTTGACTTGGGAATCCCCGTTGGTGAATGAAATCATCCCCACATTGGCTTTACCTTACGTTTGTTTTTTGTTTTCTTTTTGAGTCTTTATTTGAGATGCTGGAGGGTGTTGATACAGCTTGTCTTGAGGGTCAGTCAGTGTGTTCTCCATGGCCTTAGGAAGTGCGTTACACTTTTCAACAGCAGCCAAAAGCTGGAGAACGGTGACTGACATCATCCAAAATATCAAATGATATGGTTAGAAAACCGTGCAGTAGATGACCCCGAGGAAACAGATCACATGTTGAATGTTTGTCAGTGGTCTTCTCGTGTGACGGAAAGGTCCTGGGTATTGATTCAGATGAAAGACCCGTTGCGAATTATATTGCATCTTATTGCCTTTTGTATTGCATTTTATTGTCAACTGGATTTACAGTGAAAAAATTATACTATGTTAGTATTTTGTTTTATTATGCTTCTGTTTTTGATTTTCCAAAATATAAGAAACTTTATATTGCTTTATGTTATGGCAGAAAATACTTCCTTCCTCAAAGTTCTCCAGAAACAGACAAATCTGATCTGAAATTGGCGTAGTTTCTATTTTACACTGTTTTGATACACCTGTGGGTGAGAGAATCCCACTAACAGCCTCCAAATGGCAAAAAGCAACTCTTATAATTTAATTGAAATAGGGCAAAATACAAGAATATGTACTGATATATCAATAGCCAACCCTAAGAAAATTGCATTTCCACCTTGACCAAATTAGGATGAGGTCCAAAATGCTGGAACAACACCAGGAGAAAAAGGAAATAAAGCAATGGAAAGAATCTGATGATGAAACTTTGCCAAACTGGAAATAAGTGGTGCATATCTTTTAGTTAGCAAAAAGTCTAATCATAGGAAAACTTGACTGGATATTGTTATGACAACAATAATAAATTAGTATTATTATGTTATTTAAGTATTATTTTGTTATGGCTCATTACTATTGTTGGCTATGGCCACCGTTTTTTTGTTTGTTTGTTTTTGGGGGGGTTTGTCTGTTGGTGATCCTGAACTGCCAAGGTGGACTAAGTTGTGTGCCTTTGGTATGTTTTATGACCTTTTTTTGATAATGAAAATTATTATCAATGTGTTTTTATACTTGTATTTATTGGTGATCAAGCCATTTAATCTGTTGTTATACTCCATGTTCATGCTTTGGCCTGCTTTGGACTGTGTGTTGTGTTCAGGATGTACTGCACACAAAAGTATCATTGTTTGAAATAGAGTGGTATCATCTCATTGTGAAGATAGTGGCCAAATGTGTATTTGTTAGAGTAACAAATCAATAAGAGTTCCTCAAATCCTGTAAAATGTCTTAATTCATCCATTTGGGTGTATTTCTACTCAAAACAATGCCTCTGTAGTACTGTATCAACTCAAATAAATGGATCTTGAAAGTTACACGTGTTTGTTTTTATGCTGTGTGTGGCCATTTGAGTTTACAAAGTGTCCTCTGAGTTAAACAGTCAGGACACCAAACTGTCCATTCCCTTGAGGTGGACAAGGAAAATATATAAAAAGTCTCAGGGGAGATCAGTATTGAAGTCTATTACATTCACATTGCAAACACCCTCCATCCCATTCACAAAATAGGCCAATAGGCTAAGATTTCTGTCTATCTCACACTAGTGTCCCTTTTTAATGTTATTTTTATAAAAGTGATTATGAGTTTATTAAAGTTTATTCTGGTTTGACCCAGTGGTGGAATTAGATAAACAAAAATTCCCAGAGGTTAAACTGGGACAGAACTACTAATATTTTATTGCATTTGGGAAAAGTGTAAAACAACTTATTATTGGATGCCCTAATTTATTTTCCTCTTTAAGAACGTGTGACCCACAAACCTACATGGATGCAAGAAGGGGGTCAGCAAAGGCCATCCACATTGCAAAGGTGTTCTATTTTCATCCTTAACGCTTAACATAATGAATTCAGTTCATTGTTGGGGGCAAAAGGTTGGGATCAAAACACCACACTAAAAGACTACAGGTCATTTGGACTCAGTTTGAAAGAATTTATTAAAACCTCATGGCCTGCTTAATGCAGGCAGCCAACCTGTCAAAAGCAGAACTACCAGTAAGAATGGGCAAGTTTGGGCACTGCAATTAGCCAACGTTTCCATAAAGTCTCAGCCTTAAATTAACTTGATGAATGTTAAAGTGGCGCTATGTATTTTCTATTATATTTTCTAAGCATTCTTTTTAAGGAAATTTCCTGTATAGGCTTGAAAGGTAGCTGTTAAAACTTTGCAGCATTGTCCCTCAGAGCACATAAATTCTGGTCAGCTTGCCGGTTACAGGACTGAGATAAAATCAGCATATTTAGCCATATTACACATTACATAAACACAGACAGAAGCCAAAATACTTGAGGGATAAGGCTTATTTTTCATCGCTCATCACAATCTGAACAAAAGGACTACCTGGTGACCGTGACACTGAAAATGTTGATACTTTTTCCACCATGAAAACCATTCACTACTGGAAGAATTTGTAATGCTGTAAAAAGGAACAGGACAGCACTTTGCCACATTATCACATTACCTTCACAACGCTGAAACACGTTGCACATTTTTTAATTTATGTTTCTGCCTGATTTTTAAGTCCTGCAGGCTCTTGCCCTACAGAGGGGAGAAGAGATACATGTCAGCCTACAAGTATCAATAATCATTAATGCATTATTATTGGTCAAAACAGCATCATTAAGGAAAAACTAAAATTATTAGTTGAATAAACTAAGTGTGTAATAAGGTGATTGCATTCCTCTGACTTCATGTGTCCAATGTACCATCTTAAATCTATGTTAAGAATAATTTTAACATCACTGTTGGTTTCCATGCTTGTTTGTTTACCCTTTTTCCTTCTTCTTCTTCTTCTTCTTCTTCTTCTTCTTCTTCTTCTCCTATAAGGCAGATTTGCCAAGATATTTCTCTCGCTTCCTGGTGTCCCCTGGTAACCGTGGTAACCCCCGTGTTTCATACCGCTTTGAACTGTGGGCAATTCCCTCAGGCAAAGTCTGCAGAAATGCGTACTTACAAAAAGGGTTTAAAAAGGGCTCGCGCGCTTGACGATTTGACAGTGGGACAGCCCTAAGCCCTCACGGACTTCCTGGGAATGCGCCTTAAAGTCTGTGAGTCTGTGAGTGTGGACATTGGGATTGGGCCCCAGTTATTCTGGGAACAATCTCTAAGTGACAGCTAGTCCCAATCAAGGAAATTGCAGTACTGGCCAATCCCAATCAAGACTGGGCAGCCAATTTCATGACGGACAACTTTGCACTCTAATGAGACGATGCATGCCAAAAACAACAGGTAAGCAGTTGGTTTTGGCATTAATTTTTGTGCTAAGCTTTTGGCATGCATCGTTCAGGTAAGCAGTGGCTCACCTGAACAATGCAGGAAACAATGCAAATATAAAACAGATCCTAAGGACAGTTATGTGTGTTGATATTACATCTTCAGTGAATAGTGTTGTTTTTTTGGACCCAGAACACCTGCTGCTAATTACTAAAAAAGTAGACTATAACAGTCTCTGGAGAAAAGCAATTTTTTGTCATTAGAAAACTGACAGAATCAAACAAACAGCAGCAGAAAACATGGAATAGAGAAAACAGTTCATGTCTGGCTCAGGGAAGAAACAAGAGTGTCTGTTGTTAGGACTTGGAGAGTCCATTGATTGTTGAGGGAGAACATTGCTGCTGCCGGGTTAATTTGATCCACATTTTGCAAGGGGGAGTGGGTGGTTGGCTGGAAGCTCTGCAGTCTTTTTGGGCTTTAGTACTGATGAGTAGGACAGCACCCCCAGCTCGTGCTGGCCAGACACAATCTGCAGGCCTTGGAAGAAGACAACATCAAATACTTCTACAGTATGGCGCAGAGCAGGATTTAGGTTTCCTCAATCACACATTGAAACTGTTATCCCAAGTCTGAAATTGGCCTTTGTAAGCTAGTCTGAGCTGTAAAAGTAACCTTTAAGCCTTCTATTTATATATCCCTCCTACATCAATATAAATTTTTGTCACACTGACAGACAATCATCGTCTATGGTCATTATTTCTGTTGGGAAGTTTTCTCAAAAAGAGCAAGATAATTATCCTTGGAAAGAACACAGGTCTCTTTTTGTTGTAATGCAATTTCCAGTTGTCTAAGTCAAAGGCGAGCAAGAACAGAGCTCAAATGTAATACTACAAGCAAAGGACAAACAACAATGAAGCACTTATGCAACAATTTAAATGCTTATGGTAGCTAATTGTCAGTCACACGCAAAGGCCAATACAGACAGTGTAATGAAAAAAAAAGTTCTTTTGAGATTTCAACGGCTGCACCCCTGACACTGATATGATCTGAGTTTCAAAGGGATTTTTTTAATGTCTTTCTGGTTCACTTTTTGACCCTTAAATAAAATCCAGCTGCTAGACCCTCTGAACTATTCCCTCCTCCCTCCATCTGCAGAAGGTGAGCCTGTTTGCCCCTGGAGGTGGGGGTTTATTGGTGGATATGGCATACCCAACTACACATTCAAAATGCCAAAGAACCCTAGAACCCTCCCCAATAACCCCATCCGGTCCTTTAGTGTGACCCCAACTCTATGCCTTGCAGATATGGAGGTCTGCATAATGTTGGAAGATGTAAGCTATTCTTTACATGTAGCATGAACAGACTTGAAAAGGGCCTCTCTGTTTGTAGCCCTCTCAAGCTACATTGGATAAAAGCCGTCACACTCAGGGGGATTTGGAACATGTAAGCTGAAAATTTACATGCGCTTCAAATCAGTTTATAACTCCTTAAGTCTCCTGAAAAATGGCTTTATATGAAGAAAGTAAGGGGATATTGTGCAAATTGAGCAAAAAGTGGTAGAGGATTTGATGAGGTTTGTGTTGCCTTGGCGCGTCTGGCTGCTGTTGCAGGCAGGATGTTCCACAGTGAAGGTTTAGGGTGGCTGTTGTAAACCGAGCTGCCCGTTCACTGCAGGAAAAATAAACAGTGGGCCGGGCCTGAAGAAAGTCCTGAGTAAAGTGGAGCGTGTTCCCTCGGTTAGCTGACACACTGTTTTAGAAATAACAGTCTGAGAGGCCGCTTTGACAAAGTTGCATGTGCACTTTAAAAAAAATCTTTATTCTTTGTCGCTGTCTTGGAGAGCACTCACACAGGTTCCTAACTCACATCTCTGTAGGACTCCTTTTCCTCTGTGCCGCTGTGATAACATTGTGACTGGATATGGAATGGAATAAACCACCCTCCTTTCCTGCTCAGCTTCCACTCCTCTATCATTCATCCTCCATTCAGCGGGCTCCCTCCACACAGCTCTCCATCCCTCTCCTGTCCAGATGACTATTTTTAGCGGCAGCACTGCTATTCTGGAATTTGTTGCTGACTGGCTGCTGCTGGGTGTCTGGGCGGCGAGCACTTCTGGAATGTCTGGCCCACTCTCAAACCACTCCAGAGTCCCAGTGCAGGGCGGACGGCTCGGGGCTCTGATTACAGCTTTAAGTCCGCTGTAGCTGTAGCTGTAGCTCTTCATCCAGCAGAAACACAAAGCTGTGCTGGAGCAAGAGGAGAAAAAGTTTCTCTGTCCTATACCATTAAGGTACTGACTAGGTATGACTGACTTTTGTCTGTATCTATTAATGTTGGTGTACTTGTATTCATTCATTTGGTCCTCACAAGGTAAACCAAAAAGATTCAGGGTTTCAGAGCTAATTCCCTTTCTTGCAGAGAGTTGAGAAGTTTAATACCACTCTCGTATGCTTTTGTTACATTTAAGGCTAACGCCAGAGCTTAAAGGAGGAAACAGCTAACCTTGCGCTGTCCAAAAGTCACAAATCCACCTACCAGCAAAAGATCTCTAAAAATTTAATCCATAAAAAAACTAGTAGTGAAAATGTTTTGTTTTATTAGGGGTTATCCGCAAGAATATTTCTTGGCTGGGACCAGTTGCAAGGCCATCATATATCACTTCATTATTAAACTGGTCCTGTATCATTATTTGACTCAAGTATTTGACTAACGGTCGAAGTCCTGCGTGCAAACGATTTGGGAAAACACAATTGTACCCATAGCTCAATTTCAAACCATGATTAAAATTTGATTGAATGAACCAGCGGTGACTCCAGGAAGTTACTGCTCCCAGCCAAGATAAGGGCTGGCATAAAACCCCAGGTAAAATGCAAAATTGTTTTTGCTTTTACACTAACCTTTGGACTGAGCCAGGCTAGCTGGTAACCTTGTTTCCAGTCTTTGTGCTAAGCTAAGCTAACTGGCTGCTATAGAAGAACCCACCACCAGAAAGCAAATAAACGAATATCCCATAATGCTGCTCTTTCTTTAAAGTAAGCAAATGAAATGAATGAAAGTCAATGCAATTCCTGCATTGCTTACATGTTCTGGTGTGTTTGTGTGTGTA